TACTTATACTATTTCTTCTTCGTCATCTTCCTTTTCTCCTTCTCCTCTTCCTTTTTTTTTTTTTAAATGGTACTGGGAATTAAATTCAGAGCCTTTGCACTAACCAACATTTCCAGATGTCTTTTTTTTTTTTTTTACTTTGAGAAAGGATCTTGCTAAAAGGGCATTTATGTTGTTAGGGTTGGGCTCAAACTTTCGATCTTTATGCTTCATTCTTCCAAGTAGCTGGGGTTGTACATGTCACTATGCTGGGTTCAAGGGTCACTTCTGACAATGCTGACTTCTAATGGCATAAATTAGTTTTACTTACTCTTGAAAGAATAGATACGTGGAATCATACAGCATACACTCTTCTTTCTGCCATGTTTTACTCATTATGTAATATTTATCTCTTCTATATGAATACTCATTCATTTTTTATTTCCATATAATATGCTGTTGTATAAATGTATTACAATGAATTGATCCTCCTTTTGTCACCAGATACTTGGGAACTAACATTCCTATAAACAGTGCCTTTCTCTGCACCTGTGTGGCATGCTCCTCAGTATGTGTCTAGGAATAGCAGTGCTGGGTCAGAAAACAGACACATGCTTAGCTTCAGTAGATACTGATTTTGTAAGTGGTTATACCAATTGAATCCTACACTAGAGTAGGAGGGTTACTGGGGCTTTAAGCAAGAGGTGAAACGGCTGTGTCCTAGCATACCTTCAGTGCTACTGGGTATCCATTGAACAAATACAGGAACATGTGAAAAAGCACAGCCCATGCTGCAAAGAAGACAGTTTGCCTGGGACTGGCTAACCTCTCCTCACAGCACTCAGCTGATGCCAGCCTGGGCCTGACACCTGTGAATCAGGGGAACTCTCTCTGCCTGCTTGGAATGGATCCTGTTTTTAGATGTTAGTTGTGGGGCTTATTCCTTGGTACTTCTCTATGACCCTTTCTTGTGGCTTCCTTAACCCTGCATTGACTACAAGTGGTAAAAATTTGTCCAGTCTGCAGTCTAGTTGGCCTTTTCCTGCCACCTCTCTTCCAGCTCCTCCATAGGTCTGCTACCTCCCTGCCACCCTTCCCTCAGTTCCCCTTTCTGTGCTGGGCCTCTTTTCTTTTTGAGAGGTAAGGGCTACCATGGGCTTCTCTTATCTTGTCTCTCATTATTTTGTGTTAGTGACTTGAAAACTGCTTATGATTCTTTTGTATTCTTCCAATCATTTCTAGGTTTTTAAAGTTTTCCACATAGGAGAAAATTTGGTTCCTGTGCCTCTCTTCTCAGCCAGATCTTGCATTTTGGTATTAAAATTTTCCACATAGGAGGAGATTTGGTTCCTGTGACTCTCTTCTCAGCTAGATCTTGCATTTTCGTGTGTTTGAAGAACTTCTGGGGCTACTTGAAGGCTCCAGACTGGAAACTTATGGGGAGAAGGAGTTTTGGAGCGCAGATCAGCTGGCCTGGACTCAGTGTGTCACAGTGTTCAGCCATTGCACCTTGAGAAAGCTTCTAAGTAGTTGTCTGCATTCCCCAGTTCTAAGTTCATGAGTATGTCCTGAGTAGCCACAGGTCCTCAACTCTTCAGTGAGATCTACCTGTGTGTTGGGAAACCCTGCTGCTGTATATATGCTGGCCTGAAGCCTACAGCTAGAATCCCCTGATCCAGGTCTTGGGCCCAGGAACCCAGGCTGGTGGCAGCTCCATGTCTGGCTTCCTTCATATGTCCTCTTGGGGCAGCCACAGGCATCAGGTGCTGTGTGGTGTAGCAATCTGTGATATGGCCCCTTCTTGGAAGTACAGTGAAGAGTATAGAACAGAAATCATGAAGCTGAGCTGCTTTAAAGCAGTGTTGCGTCCATGGACTGGAGGCAGATGAGCAGGACACAGTCTCCTGCAGAGAGTCTGGGTGACAGGGCTGTGTGTAGATCTATAGTAAAGAGTTTGTAGCATGAGACATAGTCCGAGTGCCCACTATGGTGATGCTACTGTACTGTGTTGTCCTATTTGCCTATTCTAGGCCCGCCCCCCGCGGTGCCATGAGGCACAGGGCATATGGCTTTGCTTGCATGTATGCTCTTGCAGGTAGGATCCTCTTCCTCTTTGTGCTGCTGTGAAGTGAAATGTCTTCCCCCAAGTCCCCTGTGGGCCCCAGGGGACCCAGCACTCAGACCAGATCTTTTTTTTTTTTTTTTTTTCCAAGCCAAACTGTATCCAGCTTTATTAAAGATACTTTTCAGGGGCCGGGAAGATGGCTCAGAAGCACTTCCCTGGCAAGCGCAAGGGCCTGAGTTCAATCCCTGGTTCCGCAAAAAAAAAGATACTTTTCATAAACAATTGTGGTATTTCAGGCAGGACATGGGCACACAATCTTTAACAGTATATAACAATTTTCAAACTCCTTGGATGGATTACCAAAAATCAGAAAGCCACTATAAAATCCAATGAAGTCTTCACTTGTGGCTCTGAAGTAAGGGAAGTTTACAGTGAGGGTTGACATTTCACATTTAGCTTGTTGTTTAGCAACTTTTCACAAGCCAACCCTGACTTTCAGTAAATGAAAATGGCAGAATTATCAATCTGAAGATCCACAGTCTAGAAGAAAGAAATCAGTTGCTCTTGTGGGACACCATCTCACCGTTACTGGCAAGTCCAGATTGCCTGACACACTGGTAACATCACTTTTGGGAATTAGATCCCAATAGGTCTCTGGGCTTAAGGGAGTTAAGCCTATGCTGATGGCAGAGGAAAGGAGGACATAAAATGAATTGGGAGCTGTCCCGTACCACAAGGCATTTATGCCAGGGTGGCCACATGTGTCAACATCAGGGAATCCCTCCTCCTGGGAGCCAAGAGGAAGTCTCTCAAAACCCACAGGGTGGGGCCAGGGAGATGGCTCAGTGGAATAAGCGCTTCCCTGGCAAGCACAAGGGCCTGAGTTCAATGCCTGGTTCCGAAAAAAAAAAAAAAAAAAAAAAAAACCCACAGGGACAGGTGCCTTCCCCACATCAATCCAGCTTTGGAGACATGGTACTACTGACATATGCTCCTTCCCCCCAAAACAACGATGAAATGTTCTGTGTGCTAACAACATAGTGTAAAAAAAAAAGTAAAACAAAATTCTGCATTTTTATTTTATTTTATTTTTTATTTTTTTTATTTGTGTGTGTGTGTGTGTGTGTGTGTGGCCATCTCAGCCCACCAGGGGGCGGGGCTGGCTGGCATGTGGTGCTGGGGGATTGAACCACAGTCCTTGTGCTTTGCTAAGCTTGTTCTAAGTAGGTGCTTTAGAACACTGAACCATCTCACCAGCCCTGCATTTTTATAAAACATGATAAAAAACAGTATTTCAAACTGTATCGTCACCAGAAGTACACAGTTATCAAAAATGCACACACTTCACTTGGCATCTCCAGCACCTTTAGCTTTTGTCCCTGGTCTGTTTTGGCATCTCCATTTTCTGCAGGATTATTCCCATCCCTGCTGGCATCAGCTTTTCCCTTTTTCCTTTTAGGTACCTTCTCTCCCTTCTTTGCAGGGTCCTTTTTAGGCCTGGGCTCTGGCTTTGGAGGAGCTGGTTTAGCAGACAACTTTGCAGATCTTCTTTGTGGTTCATCCTTCACCTTGGCTTTATCACCTTTAGCATCCCCTTCAGCCTTTCTCTTGGTCATGGTGGCAACAGCGGCAGGTCACAGGCACTAGACGCGAGATGCAGCAGCGTGCAGCTTTGGGCAGCCCTGGAGTCGTCCTCACTTCTTCTTCACACTGCTCCTCAGACCAGATCTTGCTCCATTTTACCAAGTCCTGTGTTGGGAAGGAAATAAATTTCTCTGTTCTGATTTGTTGATAACAGAAACAACTCATTAACATTAACTTCATTCATTCTCCCAATTATTTTTTGAGGATTGAATTCCTAGACTTAATTAAGATTTGTGAAGTTGGGGGCCAGGGAGATGGCTCTGTGGAAAAAGTGCTTCCCTGGCAAGCACAAGGGTCTGAGTTTAATCCCCAGTTCTGCAAAAAAAAAAAAAAAGATTTGTTAAGTTGTAGAGAAGATATGAACCTTTTTCTCTCTTGAGACAAAGCCAAGCCATATATTTTCTTTCTCTTCAGTAACCTCTCTTGATTTTGCTTCCTGCTATAAGCTAGGAGGAGTCCAGTAAAGAGACAGGCAGGAGCAGGGAAGGTGTCTGTGGAGAGCCTGGCTGCTCACAGGGGCACAGAATGGGGGTCAGGCTGTCAGAACCTAAGGCATGCTTGCTGCCAAGCTGCTGACTTCTGGATGTGGAGAAAGCTGTGTGTCCTAGAATAGGCTAGCATTCTTTACTGGTCAGTCTCACCTGTAGGGTCTCCTACCTGAGCCCCAGGGTTCTGTCCTCCTGCTCCTTACCAGTCTGCTTAGGACATGCAAGTTTGTTCACCTCTGGGCCTGCATACATTGCACTGGCCTCTGGTTAGTTTGTACTGTGCCTCACGCCCTGAGGTCTGAAGCTCTGCCTAAACAGGCTAGGTTTCTCCAGAACAAGGGAGGGACAGGTAAGAATCAAGTAGCTGGATGGGAAACTCCCCTGCCTCTTGTATGTGGTGGTTGGGGCACCTCCTTGAACCTTGGGTTTTCCCATCTGGAGCAGAGAAGAACATGAAGCTGTGTGAGCAGTTCTGGGATTGTTCCTCAGAGGATCAGCTTAGACCTCTGCTCGTTTTCTGGAGCATTCTTCTTGGCCCTTAGGAGGAGGCCTGGTGCTTAGCCCTGAACAGAAGATGCTTCAGCCACATCTGTCCATGTGGCACCCTGTCCTCAACACTCAGTCCTGCCCCTGCACAGACTGCTTCCTAAGACCTAGGTTATCTTTGTTACAGTTGTGTTTATTACACACATGCATCCCACAGACCCACCTCTCAGTCCAAACTCCCACTGTCACTGCAGCTTGAACCTTGTTTTTGGCCTGCATCTCCACTCCTCTGTGGCCCCAGGACACCCATCTTATGAATGTCTGGTCTCCTGATACAGGCATTCGGGCAGGCACACACAAACCACAAGAAGGTGGCTGCGGATGGTGAGAGCCGGGAAGAAAGCCTGATCCAGGAATCAGCCTCCAAGGAGCAGTACTATGTACGGAAGGTGCTGGAGCTGCAGACAGAGCTAAAGCAGCTGCGTAACGTGCTCACCAACACGCAGTCAGAGAATGAGCGCCTCACATCGGTGGCCCAGGAGTTGAAGGAGGTGAGTGGGTTGGAGAGGGGCCGAGTGGCACCATGATAGTGGCACTGAGTGGTAGGTGTCTTGGTAATATGTGCCTCGGAAGCAGGTGGCTGTGAGCTGGATGTGATGGCATACACTGGTAATCCCAGAAGGCTGAGGCAAGAGCATCACTGCAGGTTGAAAGCCAGCTTGTGCTACATAGTCAGTTTAAGGCCAGCCTGGACCGTGTAGTAAGACCATATCTCAAACAAATCAACAAACAAAGGGAACAGAGGCTGTGGTTTCTGTGACTTTATTCAGGCTTCTTCTTCAGTCTCCAGTAATGAACACACAGCACTGCTTCATCCAGGCAGTCCCTGTGTCACTAGTGATGTTCCCATGAACCAGCCCAGACCAGGAAAGTGATCAGCATTTCAAAGGCTTAGGTGTGGTGCCCAAACCCACATACTACTGGACACCTTGTCTGGGAAACATTTTGTCTTGCTCAGGCTTCACAGTACCAGGAAGTCAGGGAGAGTCCTGCAGGTCTGAGTCAGGGCCTGAAGAAGGCATGGTCCAGCTTATGGTTAGGGGACCATGGGCTGTAGGCAGATGAGAGAAGCCAGAGCTGTCTAAGGAAGAGTGGGGCTCTATCAAGGCAGGGATGGGTTGACCACCGTGTGTGTTCTGCCCCTTTCCCAGGCAGCTAAGAGGGTTGTATGATTCTTCTGAATCAGAAATGAGCTCAGTGAGCTAAAGACTGGTGAGGGGAGATTCCTGCTGTTCCTGTTTGTGCTTGAGGAGGAAATTCTGATTCTCTGTCTATACCCCTGCAGCTCTCTTTTCTCTCCGAGGGGTGGAACCCACCTGCACTCCCATGCCAGTGGCATCCTACCCCACAACAGCATTACCACTTCCCTCATTGCTGTAGAGCCTTAGGAGCCCCACAGGGTTTTCACCTCCCTTGTGCCTAGCTAGAGTAGAAGCTGTACTGCCAGTGACACCTCTCTAAGTACCAGTGCCAACTATAGCCAGCTCCTTTCTCTGCTGCTGTTGCTTCCTTGTGTGAGTTACTGTGCTGATCTCTTGGTTACTAGTATGGCTGTCCCCCACTGCCTAAGGCTTGCTACACCTTGGGTTGGACCCCTTTGTCTCCTACCCACTGGTCTTGGTGGCATTCAACATCCAGTGATGGGCTGTATCCTTTGACTCACTACCCATACCCTGACAACCCTCACCCTTTTCCACCCTGGACTACTGGTCTAAGTATCTGCCCCAACCCCAACATACGATGAGGACACATGAAGGTTTATGGTTCCAAACATACTTGGCCTGTGTCAAATGGTTTTGACTGTCTCAGACTAGTCATCATGATAAGCTTCCCAGTGTTCTGCCACACATGAGAAAACTGAGGCTGGTGAAAGTAGAGGAACTCTGGGGTCCTGAGCCTTGACTCTTTTGCTGCATATAGGACCTGTGGTGCGTATCTAGGTAGCTTCTGTCCTCCTAGAATTCTATTTATAGGGTCTGGTGTCCCTATAAGTACGTGGCCATTCTAAGGTGTGGTTTAGAGAGGACCTTGCTGGGGATGTGGCCTCGTTTTCCAAAACCTGAGGTCCCTTTGACTCCAGCAAAGGGTGGGGTAGGGTGGGAGGCTGTCCTAGGCAATTGGCAGAGACAGAAGTCCTAAGATGGGTAGCAAAGAGGGCAGCCAGCCCCTCTGCAGCCTAGCTCCTTGTTTGGATAGGATCCCAGGTGGTCAACTCTAATCCATGCACCCATCTCCTCCATCTGGGCTGCTCATCCTCACAGAGACAAGTTTGTTCTCTACACTCTGTTGGGCTGATGTCAGACAGGCTCACCTGGGTGGAGGTGCTTACCTAAGGGAAAACCAAACTCCCAGTGACTAGTCCCAGCCTGCTTAAACTCTCAGAAGTTGGGCGGATGCAGGGCGGAGGACCAGGTGGTAGGCCAACAAGCTTTGCTGTAACAGTGTCGTTGGGACAGAAGCATGGTCATTGTGGAATAAAAGTGCAGATGTTTGGTTCCTGCAGCATCAGCAAAGATAGTGCCCTCACCTACCATGTGGCTTTGCCAGGCTAACATGTAACTTTCATGTGCCTCTCCATTCTTATGTATGGCCATCCAGTTCCAGGCCTCCATTGGCCCAAATACTTTACCAACAGGAGGTCTGTCATAACTGACATCCTAGATTCAGGTCTCCTTTCACATCTTGCCAGAGTCAGGATGCCAGAGGTGCCAAGGACTCAAACAGATGTTAGATGTCATATGGTGTTGGGGATGTGACTCAGGGCCTGGAACATATTAGGCAAGTACTATGTACTTCAGTCCACATCAGTGTTTAAACACATTACTTGAAATAGAAACCATCGGGCTGGTGGGATGGCTCGGTGGTCCAGAGCACCTACTTAGAACAAGCTTAGCAGAGCACAGGGACCGCGGTTCGGTCTCCCAGCACCATATGCGGCCAGCCCTGCCCCCTGGTGGGCTGAGCTGGCCACACACACACACACACACACACACACAAATAAAATTAAAAAAAAAAAAAAAGAAATAGAAACCATGTTCACAATTAATCCATCCCCTACTAATCTGCTTTCTGACTCTGTGGATTTGCCTGTTCTGAGTGCCTCACATAAATGAAATTTTGTACAATGCATAATCTCTTGTGACTGGCTTCTTTCACTCAGCAGCATGTTGTCAGCGTTTGTTCATGTTATAGCAAGTGTCAGGATGTCGTTCTTTATTATGGATGAAATAAATTCCATGATACAGGTAGGTCACGTTTTCTATATCCATGCATTTGTTAATGGATTTTTGGATTGCTTTTACCTTTTGGCCACTGTAAACAGTACAGTTGGGAACATTCATGTAGAGGATCTTGTGTGGACATGCGTTCATCTCTTTGGAGTAGACACTGTTTTGCTGAGCACCTGCAGACTTTGTGCCACATGCACATGTGCGCCATGTACCTGCCAGCAGGTAACCTCATCTTACAGATGAGACACTGAGGGCCATAGCAGGGTGAGTCACCTGCCAAGGGTTCCCCTGCTAAGAAGGGTTGAAGGGATCTAACTGAGCCAACTGCTGTTCCCTACACACCATACTGCCCTGGCTCCATCTCTGCTCCAGGCAGCCACACTGGTGCCCAGAGGCCTGGGTCCTAAGTCCTGTTGTTGTGGCATTCCTACCTCTTGCCACTGGAGGCAGGGCTTATGGACCCACCTACAAAGGTTGTTCACACCCATCTTCCTCTCTGCCCTGACAGATCAACCAGAATGTGGAGATCCAGCGAGGCCGCTTGCGGGATGACATCAAGGAGTACAAGTTCCGGGAGGCCCGCCTATTGCAGGACTACTCAGAACTGGAGGAGGAGAACATCAGCCTGCAGAAGCAAGTGTCTGTGCTCAGACAGAACCAGGCAAGTCTCTGGGTTGAGGCTGTGGGTGGGCACACAGGTCTGCTGTGGTCCTCTCAGCCCTCTCACCCAACCTTCTTTTCTGTCTTTCTGTCTCATTTTCAGCTGGTGCTGAGAGCCAGCACCAGCAACACCGCAGTTGAGGCAGGGCCTGCGGCTAACACAGCCTAGACCTCCCAAGACCATGGAACAAGATCTGTAGCTGCAGTGTTTGCTGACCCTTGGGCAGTTGAGGCTGGTGAGGAACAATCCAGATGATGAAAAGTTCACATCAAAAAACCCCAGAGTAGATTTCTAAGTGCTGTCATTGTCAGGTGCTGGCCACAGACTGAAATATTAACATTATCTGTCTACTGCAGGGATGAAGAGGGTCCTGTTGCCTGTGGTGGGGATTCTGAGGGTCCCCAGTGATGGATAACGTGATCATAGGATCTGAGGACCACTCAAGGCCTGAATATACTCTCCTACTCTCCATGATCCACAACCCGGCAGGGAACCTTTTCTTCCAGGAAATCCCAAACTGTGCCCAGGAATACCAAGGATAGGGTCTGGGGCGATAGCTCAGTAGAATAAGCGCTTGCCTGGCAAGTGCAAAGGCCTGAGTTCAGTCCCCGGTTCCACAAAAAACAAAACAAAACAATAAAACATATTGTACATTGAGACTGGGCATGGTGGCACGTGCCTGTAATCCCAGGCTGTAAACAGGTGGATCACTGAGTTCAATCTAAGTGGGACCCTGAACATCCTGTAGACCCTTCCCTAAAAAATACAAAAAAAAGAATACCAAGGATGATGTTCTTGCTTTCCTCAGATACCCTTTACCACCCAGATCCTCTCAGTGGGAAAGTCTCACTATCATGTGTGTACACAGAAATTTCTGTGTTTGGAAAAACAAGCAGGGAGCAGATTCTTTCCCTCAGAACACTCCAGGGACAGAGCCCACAGCCCTATCATGCAGTAGACAGCTCATGCTTAATTATGTGTATGTATACAGACCATCCGATCATTGGCTTTCTGTAGGCAGAGCTTGCCCCACAGTACCCTGAGGAAAGAAGAAACCAAGGCTCAAATATGTTGTGTTCTCAGAGGGGTTCCCCCTTCCATTCCCAGCTCTCTGGGGTCCCTCACTTCCTGATTTGTTACACTAAGATGAAGGGTTCTGTGCCCACTTCCCAGGAGCACACCTAGAATGTGATAACCGGTGTCTCTTCCTGCCCAAAACACACAAAGATTGTTCAGTGTTTCATTTCATTGACTTATTTTTTAATACTACTATAGAATAAGACAAGTTTTTAAAAACTTGCCCGCAAGCTTTGACCCTCCCATTATGCATCAGTTTCCATCTGCTCTTTTCCTTGTCCACCTGCAAATACAGTTTCATGTCAAGACTGTGCTTTCCTACCCAACTCCAGATCTGGGTTCTGAATTTAGCACTGAGACATTCTGCCTTCAGAAAATCTGTTCCTTTATTTTTGAAATAGGATTCAAGGGGCTGGTGAAATGGCTCAGTGGTCTAAAGCACCTACTTAGAACAAGCTTAGCAAAGCACAGGGACCACGGTTCAATCCCCCAGCACCACATACCAGCCAGCCCCGCCCCCTGGTGGGCTGAGCTGGCGACACACACACACACATAAATAAATAAAATTTTTAAAAAATGAAATAGGATTCAAAATAATGGTCATAACACACACTGAAGGATATACTTCATGCGCCCTAAGATACATGATTAACTTCATGCTAATTAAGTTTTTTATACAGTCTAAATCAGCCCCAACTTGATATTTTTAAGAATCCAAGAGAAATGGCAGCATAGATGAGTGTTCTGAGGCCTCAGGCATTGCAGGCTTCACATTGCGCATTCCTCAGGCACACTGGGCCTGGTGGTGCACTGAACACTTCCATGCATTTGAATCACATGCTCTGGAACCTCTTGCAGCCATCCGTTGGTGAGGAAGTATGCTCAACCTCTTCTATAGGGTGGTGCTTTTCCTCGTGAGTCACTTTGCTCATTGTGGCTGGGGAGGTAGCACCCTGATGCATTCTCTTAATTTATTAGACCTTAGTGAAGCTTTCCTGTCATCAAACCGTTTGACCCTTTTCCAGGTGGAGTTTGAGGGCCTAAAACATGAGATCAAGCGTCTGGAGGAGGAGACGGAGTACCTCAACAGCCAATTGGAGGATGCCATTCGGCTCAAGGAAATCTCAGAGCGGCAGCTGGAAGAGGCACTAGAGACACTGAAGACAGAGCGAGAACAGAAAAACAGTCTGCGCAAGGAGCTATCGCACTACATGAGCATCAACGACTCCTTCTATACCAGCCACTTACAAGTTTCTCTGGATGGCCTCAAGTTCAGCGATGATGCCACTGCTGAGCCCAACAATGATGCCGAGGCCCTAGTTAATGGTTTTGAGCATGGCAGCCTAGCCAAGCCCCTGCCAGACAATAAGACATCCACACCCAGGAAGGATGGCCTGGTGCCTCCCTCCCCCAGCCTTGTTTCTGATCTGCTCAGTGAGCTTCACATCTCTGAGATCCAGAAGTTGAAGCAGCAGCTGGTGCAGGTGAGCTGGTAGGGCCTCATGTGCCAACTCCACTGTTCCCCTGTTCATGTGCTACCACACTGTCAGATCAGCATGTGCTGCCAACGCAGGCCTACCCCAGATATTACATAAATACTGATTTACTCACATTGATTTTAAATTCTATATTATTAACATAAGTAAAACTCCATGGTACAGAGAGGGTAGCCCCTGAGAAGTCAATATTTGGTTAGAGGGTGAGGTTTCGCTCTGTGATGTCTATATTGCTTCCCATTACCCACACTGTCAGGGTGAAGATGTGGTGTTGGCCTTTCGTGTGGCTCCCCACCAGGATATAGCTGGGATCATCTCTGGGTTGATGGGTCACTCTTGATCCAGCAAATCATCAAGTGCCTGCAGTAGGGAGGATGGTGGCAGAGTCTTTATTCCAAAGCAGAGAGCTTAGCTCAGAGACTTCCTTCTTACCTGTCCTCCCTACCCAGAGTGTACGCTCTGAGCCCAGCTGTCCTATAGCAGGAGTGGGGACAGGGTGCCCATGAATTATTCTACCTGTTGAGGGTAGGCAGGGTTCTAATGGTCCCATGTGGATTTTTCCCACTCCACCTATACCCTGTGTGTCACTGACAGTGTAGTGAGAAAACCTAATGCTGGGCCATCCTGGATGTCCTCAGCCTCCTCCTGAGCTGGCCTGCTGTTTGTGCTTTCCAGATGGAGCGGGAGAAAGTGGGCTTGCTGGCAACACTACAGGACACACAGAAGCAGCTGGAACAGGCTCGGGGAGCTCTGTCAGGGCAGGAAGAGAAGGTGAGCCGTCTTACAGAGAACCTGAATGCCCTGCGGCGCCTGCAGGCTGGCAAAGAGCGGCAGACAGCTCTGGACAACGAGAAGGACCGTGACAGCCATGAGGATGGTGACTACTATGAGGTGGATATCAACGGACCTGAGATCCTGGCCTGCAAATACCATGTGGCTGTGACTGAGGCTGGCGAGCTCCGGGAGCAGCTCAAAGCACTGCAGAGTACACACGAAGCTCAGGAGGCCCAGCATGCTGAGGAGAAGGTTCGTTATGAGGCTGAGGCCCAGGCACTCTCTGAGAAGGTATCCCTGCTAGAAAAGAACAGCTGCCAGGACCGTGATTTGCTGGCCCAGTTGGAGAAAGAGCTGAAGAAAGTGAGTGATGTGGCCGGTGAGACCCAGGGCAGCCTGAGTGTGGCCCAAGATGAGCTCGTGACCTTCAGCGAGGAGCTAGCCAACCTCTACCACCACGTGTGCATGTGCAACAATGAGACACCCAACCGTGTCATGCTGGACTACTACCGAGAGGGTCAGGGTGGGGCAGGCCGCACCAGCCCAGGAGGCCGCACCAGTCCCGAGGGTCGTGGGCGCCGCTCGCCTATTCTCCTTCCCAAAGGGCTGCTGGCCACAGATGTGAGTCGAGTAGATGGTGTTGCTGGAGACAGCAGCCCCTCACCCAGCTCCTCACTGCCATCGCCCCTCAGTGATCCCCGCCGAGAGCCCATGAACATCTACAATCTGATTGCAATCATCCGAGACCAGATCAAGCACTTGCAGGCAGCTGTGGACCGCACAACAGAGCTCTCTCGGCAGCGCATTGCCTCCCAGGAGCTGGGCCCAGCTGTGGACAAGGACAAGGAGGCACTCATGGAAGAGATCCTCAAGCTGAAATCACTGCTCAGCACCAAGCGGGAACAGATCACCACGCTGCGCACAGTGCTCAAGGCTAACAAGCAGGTGAGCTGGTGTGGTGGGCATCTCTTATCGTTGGTCTCCATCCCTCACCACTGCAGGGCTTCCCAGGCCTGTGTCCTCACAAGATGGAGCTGCCTGAAGGTCAGCTTCAGTTGCTGCCCACCCCTGCCAGCAACTCCCAGTCAGGAGGATGGACTGATTGGGAGGGCTCAGGTGGGAACCATTGCTGTGGACTATTTCACAGCAGTTCCAAATGCTAAAGTAAAAACAAGAGAACTGCAGCCTGAATGCCCTGGAAGAGTGATGTCGGGCTTTGAGGGTTCAAAGAATAGGGGGATGCCTAGTCTTTATGGTCAGGATCAGTAGGTGGGTTTCACTGAGGTAGCCTGGCCCTGCTAGCATGGCTGCTGGGGTTTATGCTCAGGGCTGTTAGAGAGAGGGTGCCTATACCACCTTGTACCTGGGGTCTCCACCATGAACTCAAGAGTGGCCCTAGGATAATTTCATAACTTGAACCTATCTGCTTCAGACAGCGGAAGTGGCCCTCGCCAATTTGAAGAGCAAATACGAGAATGAAAAGGCCATGGTGACTGAGACCATGATGAAGCTGCGCAATGAGCTCAAGGCCCTCAAAGAGGATGCAGCCACCTTTTCTTCTTTGCGCGCCATGTTTGCTACCAGGTAACTGTATCATCTGTGACCCTTCCTCTCCTGCAGCCTCAGTGTTTATGCACAGCCCCTGTTGCCTCTGGCCTGAGATCTTCTGCCCTGTTGCATCAGGACCTATGTCCAGCTCCATCAGGGGCCAGCATAGCTCAAGTTTTAGAAAGCACAAGCCCCAGTGTGTCTCTGGCACAGAGGCCCAACTGATAATAAGGATATGTCACATTGGTACCCTCAGCTGTGCCCAGGACAACTTGGTGCTGTATATCATGTGGACAGGTTCTCCTAGTGCTGCCTATGCCTGAAAGATGCTGTGTGTACTAACATTGGGCAGAGGGTGTGTGGTCCTTCTTCCTGTTCCTATTCCTGCCAGATCAAGCCACCAAGAGCATGGGTCTGTGGACTGTTTGTTTTATTGGTAATGAAAGCCTGCAGGCTTAGTTTGTCTCATTTTGTCTCAGTCTGAAAGGCAGAGGAGTTGGGAGGAGTGAGATTCAGGGATGATTGAGGTCCGGCGTTCATGAGGTCAGAGTTCTGTCCAGTGGGTAGCAAAAGACCCCTGAGACTAACCATGAGGCACATACATGCAGTAGGTGTCAAGATTCCTTTCCTGGCTAGTGGGTCCCTTTTACAACAGCTCTGTACCCATCTGCACTCTGCTGCCACCCACCTTGCCTGCCAGGGAAGTGAGAGGAGGTGCTTTAGGCCTGGGAGAGGAAGCACTTGTGTTTCCACCCTCCTAAGATCAGGAAGATCAGACCCCGGACTGGAAAGCAAGTCCTCTGGCTTTCCTACTCCGAAGATGGGTGGTGCCACCTGCTGGTGGGTATTGTTGTGGTCCTGAGGTTGGCCATGTCCCTTGCACACCCAGCACAGATCCTGGTCAACCTAGCTGTTTGCTGTGGTGGCTGAAAAAACTGAGACTCTGAGGGAGACAGGGTAGGAGCAAGGCCAGGGCTGGTATTCCTGCACGGTAGGTGGAGAGACAAGTAGTGTTCCAGGATTTCTCTAGAGGCTTTCTGTCTTCTTGGAGCTAGGAAAATGCCTGAGAAAGATCCCACAGCACCTCAGCATCTGGTATATAAACCCTAAAATGAATATATATATAT